GTGAGGTATACAAAGAGGAAGTGAGAAGGGAGGCTAACGACATAAAAGCCAGAGGGAGAGGGAGAAGAAAGATTGGTAAGGAGAGGGCCGTGACAAACACAGATACAGAGAAGAAGTGGCAGAAAGGGATGACAAACGATTAGAGAGTTAAAAAAATATGCAGGAATTGCTAACAAATATAACCACACATCAGAGGAAAAAGAAAAAACCAGCCTCATGCTGAAACCCCACCCACTACCCCAACACAATTGCAAGTGTACTGGACACAACCACAAGGAAAAGATGGTTATGGGGCAACAAAACAAATGTAGAAGAACCAGAAAAAATAAGAGAGAGGAGAGGGTAAGGAAATCTAGAAAAAATGAGGAGAAGACAGGATGAAAAGGAGACAAAGAAGAGATGGGACATGAGGAAGAGCAAGAGAGAACAGAGTAAGGAAAGGAAGAGAGAAAGAATAGAGAGATAAAGGAGAAGAGTGGAAGATCAAAGGAAAGAGAAGGGATGAGAGAAGAGAGGTAAGACATGGTAGAGGGCGGCCATAAGAACACTGAGCGCCAAAAATAGAATTAGGAAATCTAAGTGAGGCCACTTTGTCTGGTTCCTACCCTCTCCCAATGTGAATGTGGCCATGGTCTATAAACAGTGCTAACCCCGAGCTGACCCATGCTTGTCTAATCTGCGTGTGACAACAATAGTTCCATTTCTTACACTCAAGGCTGGTGACCTGGGAGCCAAGGTCATTTTATGAAGAAAAAAAGGGGGGGGGGGGGGGGGCCCCCAACCCATCACTTGTGGAAAACAGAGCAGGATATTAAAAAAAATAGGTCAGGGAGCAGTGGACTTCGTTTTATTTCTGATTTTCCAATTACAGAAAGGAGAGAGAGGGGAGAGGAGGTGGTGTAGAAGACTGAGATGGTAAGGGTGAGACAGGGGAGGTGAGAAAGGTGAGAGAAAGTGAGAGAATAAAGTTTAAGGAAAGAAAGTTAGGACTGAGACAGGGAGAGAAAGAAATAAGATGAGATATAGAGGGAAGAAGGTAGCAGGAAAGGGCGAAACACCCCCCCCCCCCTAGTGTCATCAATGTGGGTGACGGCAAATGTATTTTTAAAAGTAAACATATATTTACGCCAATTTAAGGTATGGAGAGAGAGAGAGAGAGGATAGGGGAGAGCGGCAAATACAAAGAGAAAGAGAGGAAGGCAGTGAGATGGGCAGAGAGTGAGTAACAGGTAGGACAAAATGGGAGAGGGCAGCTAGGGAGATGGACAGAGATTAAGGCCCACTAAGAAAACACACATTTAAAAAAAAAATAACCACCATGTTCATCCTAAACACCAACCCCCCCCCCCCCCCCCCCCACACAACTTCCTGTGTTCTTGACAGTTACTAGGAAAAGAGTTATAGAGCAGCACATTATTTACTAAACATTTAAACAAGAAAAAAAATAGGAAAAGGGGGGGGGGAGAAAGGAAATGAGAGAGTAAAAGGAAAGATAGAGAGAAAGAGAAGAAGATGAAGATCAGAGGGGAGGGTGAGAGCCAATGCAGGAGACAGCAAGAGGTAGAAGAGTGAAAGAGGGAGGTGAGAGAGAGAAAGAGAGAGATAGAAAGGTGAGGCAACAGAAGAGAGAATTACAATATTGATCGCCAAACACACTGTAAAGATTAACCAGGCCAAAAATAGAACTGGGAAATCCAGCTGACGTCACTTTGCTTAGCCCCACCATGGCCGACTCTATTTATAAACACAGACGGACCTGAGCCCCACGATCTCCCAATGAAATCCTTTCTAGAAACCATGGTGATAAAGCTATTTATACTACTAATACTGCTAGACTTGCTAAAAACAAAGGCAGGCACAGGTCTTCAGTTTGATTATGCATTGAGGCAAATACAAACTGATCTAGTGCTTCTAGGCTGACCTGTCCTCAACTGGGTGCTAGGAAGTGTTCTGGGGGGGAAGAGGAGGACCAAAGATGTTGACCACATCACCCGATGGGTGCAGACTGGTCAATACAAATACACATCTAGCACAATGCACAGGATGTGATGCTCACTTGAGAACAATTATTTGTGCAAAATCCAACAATGACAGTCTTTGCCACACAATCTGATGTGATGCCTTCTCAAATGAGGGCCAATCATAGGAGGTCCTATGGGGATTGGCAACAATGCCTCATCAGCTTGAAATCATAAACTGTTGGTTATATAACCAATCGCCTGGCAAAACTGGACAATTTGAGAGGGAAAAACCCCCTGGAAGACTAACCACAACCAAACAATGCCCACTGATGTCAGACATTGGGCAGAAAGTCCAAATATCATAGCTTTGCTGTAAACAGGATGCCCTCAGATGTTAAATATTGGGCGGACAGTCCAAATATCATAGCTCTGCTGTAAACCGGATGCCAAAATATGCCAGATATTGGGCGGAAAGTCCAAATATCATAGCTTTGCTGTAAACAGGATGCCCAAAGATGTTAAATATTGGGCGGAAAGTCCAAATATAGCTCTGCTGTAAACAGGCACAATGCAACAATGTCCAAAGCAAAGACAATTTCTGAAGAAGAAGAGAAAGAAAGCCTCACCCACAGCATAATAATATCTTGGATTCAGATAATTTACACACTGGAGTCTTTCCACTGCCTGGAAGTTCTTGCACTGAACTGACGACACCTTGTGTGACCTAAGTGGATCCACTTAGTGTCAGAAAGCTGATACCTATGACAGATTCACAGTGCCCCCAACACATTTTGCATCCAATTAATCCATCTGTCAGGAGACTGTTGTTGAGGAAAACCAAAAAGAATGGCAGCAATAAATGAATACATTCAAAAGCAGTTTGGAGAAGGCATCTAAGATGAATCTGATGAAATATAAACATGAACTACTAAAAAAAAAAGCCATTTCCTCCAAATGCTGGACTATACAGGTTGTGTGTAGTGGTTTCATACAAAATGATAATAAATGATGGTGATGATGCACTTCCTTCACAAGTCAGTCATCAACAGCAGGTTGCCAGAAAGCCTGTGAAAAAAAGAAACAAATATAAGTTAACATACAAGTATACGTGCTACATGATGAGAATTTCTCTTCAATCAAACAGAAGTTCATAAACAAGTATACCTGTTACCCGATCTGAACTTCTTTTCATTCAAACACTCTACAGTGTTTCACATTTTGTCATTCTCTTCACATTACAGTAAAACTTTGATTAACCATCACTGTCCGGATCAGGGATGTGGCGGATAGCCGAATAGACGGATAACAGAAATCTCCTAATACACATGTACAGTAATGTGACTTCACTGCAGGCTTGGGAGGAAAATGGAAACGAAATCTTTTAAAAGAGATTATTACACACACACACACACACATATATATAGTATTTAAATTTACAAAATGATCAACATAAACTATAGTATAAGGGTAGTGATGTACAGAAATGTATTGTAATACTATAAGCCTACATTACTTAAAAATAATCTGTCATCTCCATCTGTGTATGTTTGAGGCTCGAGCTTTCTGCGTGGTGATGTTCTGTTATCTTATGCAGATGTAGGATCTGTGCTGCCTTTGACTCCTCTTGCATTTCAAACCAGTTGATGCAATGACAACATTGTTTCTGCTTCTGAGTAGCTGGTTGCAGATTTTTAGTTACAAAGAGATCTTTTTTTAGACAATGATGGAAAACAGAAACGGATGGTTAAAAGAGTAGTGGTTAATCAACATTTTCACTGTACTTAGAAGAAAGGTATACTATTATGGGTTTAAAAAATAAAGGAACTGAAGAAAACTATGACAACTCCAAAGATCAGCTGAGGCAGGAGGAAGACAAACTGGAATGATACAGGATGGTCTTAGACAGTGACCAAGATCTACAGAGTGGAACGATACAGGAGGGTCTAAGATAGTGACCAAGATCTGCAGAAGGGAATGATACAGGAGGGTCTAAGACAGTGACCAAGATCTGCAGAGTGGAATGAAACAGGAGGGTCTAAGACAGTGACCAAGATCTGCAGAAGGGAATGATACAGGATGGTCTAAGACAGTGACCAAGATCTGCAGAGTGGAATGAAACAGGATGGTCTAAGACAGTGACCAAGATCTACAGACAGAGCAGAATGATACAGGATGGTCTAAGACAGTGACCAAGATCTGCAGAGTGGAATAAAACAGGATGGTCTAAGACAGTGACCAAGATCTGCAGAGTGGAATCAAACAGGATGGTCTAAGACAGTGACCAAGATCTACAGACAGAGCAGAATGATACAGGAGGGTCTAAGACAGTGACCAAGATCTACAGAGCGGAATGATACAGGATGGTCTAAGACAGTGACCAAGATCTACAGGCAGAGTGAAATGGTACAGGATGGTCTCAGACAGTGACCAAGATCTGGAGGCAGAGCAGAATGATACAGGAGGGTCTAAGACAGTGACCAAGATCTGCAGAGTGGAATGAAACAGGATGGTCTAAGACAGTGACCAAGATCTGCAGAGTGGAATGAAACAGGAGGGTCTAAGACAGTGACCAAGATCTGCAGAGTGGAATGAAACAGGAGGGTCTAAGACAGTGACCAAGATCTGCAGAGTGGAATGAAACAGGATGGTCTAAGACAGTGACCAAGATCTACAGACAGAGTGAAATGATACAGGATGGTCTAAGACAATGACCAAGATCTGCAAGGAGACATGAATGTCTATGCTACCAAACAAGACACATCATGAAAGTAAACACTACGCTTACCATATTCTGGCAGGCTGATGCCATCATCATATATTTGGGATTGAACTGAATACACTGAATGGGACCTGGATGATCTGACTGAAGAATGGCCATTTTAACACCAGACTCTGTACTCCAGCAATGAACTTTGCCATCTGTTGATCCTGTGAATATTACAATACGTTTATCAGAGACTACAACCTTTAGTTTTCATATCACAGTACTGACACTGATTTTTTGGGGGGCCTGAATACAAGATTTTCTTAGGCTAGATTTTCCTACGTTTGTTCTTATTGATAGTATGTACATTTTGCCAACGATAAAGTGAAATGTCACTGGACAGATTGAGGTAGAAATAAACATAATTATCAGATGTGACCCAATTATGTTATGTAGCAATGCGATCTAGCTAATTATCTCTCTCTCTACCAATGTTTTCATACAATCAAATCTTCTGGCTGCTTCTAAATTTATAAAATTGTTTTCCCCCATTTAAATAATTTTATTTCTCAAATCAATTTATCGTTTTCACGTGTTTCTTGAAGGACTATGATTTATTGTGTCAGTCCATGATAATGTCTCCATTTTCCTCCAGAACCAAATGTCCAATGCCATGAGATAATTCTCTTCTTGTCTGTCTATTGTCCATGTTTTGGGTGCACACCTCATGAGTTGTCAGATCATAATGTATTGGAAATGTATGGCGGTGATTTTACCAAACCTTCTGCAATTTTACCTTTAGTTTCATATCAGGTTTGGTCTAAAGAGACATCCCCATGCAGGTTCCAAGGTCCAATATTAGGGTTAACAAAGTAAAAATACCTACTGTCCCTACAAGCATGTCATAAAAGGCAACTAAACAGGGATTTGCTGAAATCAGATATGTTTGGCCAAAAGGTGCAGCAGTTATCGCAGCCTAGTGGTAAACCACAATAATGTGTGTCAACCGCCCTTTTAAAGGCAAAAGCAGAATAAGCATGAGGATATTTTATTCTCATAAAAGTATAAAGAGTTGTCCCATGCAAGGCAGCAAGGGGGTGAGGCTAAGAATGACAGCTCTCTTTCACTGATGGCTATGTCACAGATGTGAGGTCATGTATAAAGTATTAAAGACATTCACCCCCAAAAACTAAACTGCCTCCTCTCAATGACCATCTCTGATAGTCCACAGCTCAGCTGATTACTCAAAATGCAGACATCTAAATCAAGAGACCACTCCACCACGAGCCACATACAAACTGTAAAATATAACTGATTTGTGTCACAAGATTGAAACGACAGGGTAGAATGTCCATTAAAACATAGTTAAAATATATAATATCCCTGTAGCTGTATGTGCCATATCTTTCTATAAAATGTCACTGAAGCGCACAATGCTTTTGTTATCAAAAGTTCAATCTTCACAATAATGCTACAAAAACTGCTCTTCCCTAACTTCTACAAGTTCTCTTTCAGGAAATTTAGTAGATAAAACAATTCAATATAAACCAATAATAAACTGTTTCAGCTTTTAGGTCACAAATTGTCGCAGTGGATTCAGAGCATTTGAACTATTAAAATATAAGGCATCCAAGCCAATAAACTACAAATATTATGAAACCTCTGGATCGATTACAGTAATGACCTTTAGAGGTTGGTTGTCTACAAGGAAAACGAGGAAAGTACACAAGAGGAAAAATGGCAGTGAATTGTAGAATTGTAAAAAGAATAAACAATATACTGTTGACTGAGGACATACATAAGGTAATAGCACTGGCAAAGAAAGAATTACCTGAGAAGACATATCTAGCATCTGGTGTGAAGGAAGCCTCCAGAGGAATGCCTTTATGATTTGTAAATCCCTGCAACAACAAAATTAATGCATAAATCACAATGTACAAATTATAAATACAAGTCTGGGCGTTTATATTTTAACTATGTTAATTAATGTCCTCGTGCAGGAGACCGAACCAACATTCGGCAGAGGTTACAATGCATCCCCTCAGCAGCGGTAATTATGTCTGTCCAGAATTTGCTGCCTCATGCACTGTCAATCATTTCTGATACAGACATACTGCCAAACTATCTTCTATTGGTTCCCCTCTCCCTCCTTGAATGTCAAGATGTACTTAAGCTTTTCCTTCATGATTTACCTAATGAATGTAAATGCCGTCTACTGATAAAAGTAATCAGTTCTCTTCACAAGCGATTTTCTTTCAGAACATCTCCATTACACTTTTTATCTGTCCATATATTGCCATCAAAGATAATCACAGATCAGGTCAATGTTCTAGTCTCACCCCACCCATATGGCTGAGCCACCTAGGCAATTTTTTGTGTGCCTTCCTTTTGCTATTTTATCGGCAATCTTGCCAGCCGTTACTAAGTTCTTGAGTACATTCCTTCTTACAAGAACTACTGCTGTCATTGACAGTGACCATACTGGTCGAGTAGCAGTAGTCATTTTCAGTTTTGTATACTCTGCCTACGGTCGGGGAGACCATAAGCAACAACTTCTTAAATCTTCCATAAGATCAAATCTCTGCAGCTGAAACAGATTTTCACTAACTATCGTCTCTGCATGGGTTCCAGGGTCCATTAGATGGGGGGGGGGGGGGGTGTGTGTGTGGTGTGTGGCGAATTAGAATTAGACACACTGCCCTCTTAACAAGCGACTAGGAGGCAACTAATCAGGGCCATTAAATGGATGTCTGCATAAATCTCAAGTTCTGGAACAACAGCAACTTTCAGAAGTTGCACCGTCCAAAGTAAGTCAAGTGTAAAATATTTAATGTGCCTTGAGGTGCGTCAGGTATAAGGTACTAGTCCCATATTTTTAATAGACCATCTGCACTTTATGAGTGATGTCACGGTTCTTTCATAATATCCTACCACAGATGACCTCACAGAACAGTCCAACATTTTAGAGGGTGTTAAGACTGGGTGTCCCGGCTTTCTGATGCTTTTAACGACTCCAAAACTTTTAGAACTGGCCCTAACCCCAACCCACCTACATCCCATGAGGGAGTGCAGCCAGGTCCCACGACTGCATGCAGCCTAGGACCCACGACTGTATGCAGCCTATCTACTACTCCCTGAAATATTAAACTGTCCCGTGACCTGTGAATTTTCCCTGTTAGGATATTAGGTAGGATATTAGGAAAGCAGCGATGTCACCTTTACTTCCCAGGACATTTTATGGTACCCATCTAAGGCTGGCTCAACCTGGGAGTCCAGGTCCATTATCTTTTTTTAAATTCTGTCTTAATTGGAGTGCAAATTTATGTCTGCCACCTGAGTGGATCAGTCACAGTTACGATGGTTTGGACATGTATGCAGAATGGGAGAAAATCTGCCACCATGGCAGGCATGGGAGGCTAAGAACCAGGGAAATAGACCTCCAGGACGACCCAGGGTGCGCTGGGAAGACAACATCCGACAGTCCCTAACTGACAGAGGACTGGAATGGAACAAAGCCAGAAAGAAAACTGCTGATAGAGACGTCTGGCGATCTCTCTGGCAAACCTCTACACCCCAAGGTAGAAGATGAGCGACTTAGTAAGTAAGTAAGTATTTATGTCTGCCACAGGCCTACCACAGCGCCTTATCATTTTAGTCTTCTTCTTCCTTTGTTGTCTCAGTGATACCAGGTTGTAGCCCAATGTCGTGGTTTTGTTGTCTCACTGTTACCAGGTTGTAGCCCAGTGTCGTGTTTTTTTTGCCTCACTGATACCAGGTTGTAGCCCAGTGTCGTGGTTTTGTCGCCCTACTGATACCAGAATGTAGCCCAATGTCGTGGTTTTGTTGTCTCACTGATACCAGGTTGTAGCCCAGTGTCGTGGTTGTGATGTCTCACTGATACCAGGTTGTAGCCCTGTGTCGTGGTTTTGCTGCCTCACTGATACCAGGTTGTAGCCCAGTGTTGTGGTTTTGTTGTCTCACTGATACCAGGTTGTAGCCCAGTGTTGTGGTTTTCTGTTTTTCTGTATTTGTCTTGCGCTTCTCGGGTGGCTTTGGTGATGGTTTTTCATCTTTTTGCAGGTTTCAGCTACATCATTTATCTACATCTTTCCTGGTCTTCCTCTCCCCTTTCAACCAGATGTTCTGCTGTAAAAAGTCTCATATGCAGTCTGGTCTGGCAGCATTCTCACCAGATGGCTGAACCATTTAATTCTTTGTTTGTCGATATAATCCAGACATGGTCTTATTCAAACTTTATCTCTGATGCTGGTATTCACAAACCTGTCTCGTCTAGTGTTGTTAGTGACCTTACGGAGACAGCGCATTTCAAATTTAGTTATTTTCTGTTCTAGTACCCTATTCATTGTCCATGTTTTGCTGGAAGGGAGACATCTTGGTGTCTCAGCAGTGGGGCTAACTAGTAGGTGACAGCATTAGCCTTCTGTATTCTATCTTCTATCTCTCTATCGAGTCTGCCATCCTCCATAAATATGCTTCCTAGATATTTGAATTTTTGTACTTGTTTGACTGTAGTACCGTTACATGAACCTTCAGGATATTATGTTTCCTGCCTATCCTCATTACCTCAGTTTTCAAGATGTTTATCCCCATATCATACTGTATGCAGGCTTGATGTAAGGAATCAGTATGGTATTGTAAATTCTGTACTTGGTGGTGTATTAGACAGCGATCATATGCAAAAAGAAGTTCGCTGATTTCTTCATTGTCTGTATTTGCCTCCTGTGTTATTCTATGTAAGTAATGAACAGTAATGGTGAGAGGACACATTCCTGTCTGAGACTAGCTGAGATAGGAAGCCAGCCTGTCACTCCTTTTGTTGTTCTGACTGTGCACTGACTATCTTGGTAAATGTTAAGAGTAAACTGACAAAAATGCAAGTTATTAACACTGCACAAAATTTAGCAACTGTGATATACCATGAATGCTTGTAGCGGATTGCCTTGAAAGGCATCAATAAGCCGAATAACATTGCCATTTGTAGAAATGAGAATCATTTTGCCATCTGGACTAAACTTCAAGCCTGTCCAGTCACATTCCTTATCCTGTGGAAGCTTAAATGTTGCAAACGGGCCCTGAAAAAAAAAAAAAAATGATTGCTGGCAAAAACAGTCTTCAAAACATTAATTCAGATTATGCTTGGCATTCTTAGTCAAAGTATATGTTGCTACTGGTTTTTCACACTCACAATCCCTCAGTTTTTTTGTTTTTTTTGGGTGTGTGTGTGTGTGTGTGTGTGTTGCACAAAGATTAACTGTATTTAGCAAGACAGAAAGTTTGCTTATATATTTCTTCCCTCTATATTTTGCCTGTATAATTAAGTAAATAAATAGTTACCATACCAATTGATAAAATTAATTTAAATTACTCTCAGCTGGAATTTTGTAACAAGATGGATTAATATGTGCAGAAATGAATACACTTTCACGTAGTGTTAAAAAAAAAAGGGGGGGGGGGGGGGGGGGGGGGGGGTTTAACTTGTCCTTAACACCTAATAATGAAAATCAGTTCTGATAAGTAGCAACTGTAAAACATGAAGAATACTGTTGAAGTATACAATGAAACCATTAATTGTATTCCACTTGAATGTTGAATTAAGAATCGACATCACAGCACTCGGGACACTCACATAAGTGCTCAGTCCCCATCTTCAGCAGCAAACAAAGAGATTTAATTCCAATGATACCAGTAACCATCTGATTGTATATTCGTCTCATCCTTCCCCTGAGTGTTGAGCGTCGGCTAGATCCCCTGGTAACTCCTCACAGCGCCACTCTCCTTAGACCATAATGATCTATCTGTGCCTCTGCACTGTTTACTCGCTCCCAAAGAGCCCTCACAATATCTAATTTATTATACATCACTTTACCAAACATAGTTCTATTGTTATATGCCCAATATGCCTGCAGGTGTGTAAGCGGGTCCTTTTTTTTTTTTAAAAATGCAAATGATCTTTTGGTTAGACATTCATTAAACTGACACACACAAGATACCTTGTCGAATGACCTCAAATCATACAGCTTGACACTCTCAGAGTTAACACCTGCTGCAAAGATGAGACCTTCTGGATCAAACGCTGCCACAGGTCGACCTGACAAATGCATCAAGCCCTGAAAACAAATGATGCAAACAACCCTACAAAAATGTTATTATTATTGATGTTTACATTAGAGACTGAGGCTAGAAAAAGAATTTTCAAGAGCTAAATAAATGCTATCTTGATATATGGAAGTGAATCGTCATGTTAGTCGTCCCCATGAGGGGTGCAATTTTTCGTTATTTGAAGCCGACCCTGTCTTTTGCTGGGGTCCTAAATATAGCCGGACCATAAATATGGCCTAATGGCTTGTAAAAGAGGTTTCTGGGAACTCTCCACAGGTGATCCTCATCCCCATGGTGGCACTTTGTGTCACCGGGTGTTTATCGCTTGTGTGATGTCCTGGTGGTACAACAAGAGAGAGAGAGAGAGAGATATGGAAGTGAATCATGGATAGTTGGTCAATTAGTGAAAACTGTGGAAGCCACGGAGATATGGTTTTAAAGATGAAAGATGAGAACACCTTGAACAGATAAAATTATTAATGAAGAGATCTTGAAAGAAACTGGCTTTCGAAAGAGACAATCTACATTCTTTGGTCATGTCATAAGAAGAAGAAAACCGGAGTACATCATGACAGTGTTTTTTTCCCCTAGATATCACTCAACCTTGACATGATCAATGCAGATTTTTTTTTTCAGAACCCACTTTGACTGTTATGGAAAGTTTAAAGTTCTGCTGAAACTGTAGCGGGTCTCCATGGTGAAGCTGTCAAGCCGTCTGCCTTGACATGGGTTTGTTTCATGGTGGTGTCGCTCACTTCGCAAGTGCAATGTTTACAGAGATCCCTGAGGACTGTGACTGGAGCTATGGAGTTTGTGCTTTGTTTGATGATCTCAGCTGGCAAACAGCTATTCTGCAGACAGAGACCGGGCCATCTGGGATAAAACCCAGAGCAATGAAGTCAATTCTCTTACCTTTAACCTTTACCTTAAAGTGTTCTACTATGCTGACCAAACCAGTTTAAAAAGTTATATATTGAATTCAACAATTAAAACATGCTATCTACATTATTAAAATGCTAAAGGAAGCATTAACAGTAATCTGTCCTAGTAAAGAGTTTTTCAACACAAAATTGTTGAAACCAAACCTGACAGTTCTGTGAACGTAGGTCCCAAAGCCGTATGGTTTTGTCCATAGAGCCAGAAATGAATGCATCATCTATTGGTGACATACATAAGGTAACCACCCTGAAAACAATACAAGACAGAGCATACAGTTCATGGTGCATCTCAATCAAGGCAAAGTGTACTAGTGCTTACTTAATTCTGTAATCATGCTTGCTGTATTTCTAGTAAATCTCTTATTTTGATAACATGCATATAATTGACATAATTTTCTGGGCAGGAAATGAAACTGGCCACCCTAGCCCATATGTGAAAGCCTAACACTTCCAATCACAATGGTAGTATCTCCTTTGGAACTATCGTTACATTTACAGTTATATCTTATTTATCCTTCAGTAATAAAAACTGTCCTATAAAGGCAGCATCTATGTGGCAGTACACTAACTGTACTGATTCAGATATATAACATAACAGAGTAGCTAAAACCAAAGAAACAATATACTCATACAACAGTCTGTGTGTGTGTGCCCGTGTTTGTTTGTCTGTCTGTATGTATGTAACAAGACAGAAAAGTCATAAATCATTCTAGTGAAAAAACAGAGACATGCCAGGCAATAAACTGTATAATACATTGCTCCTGTGCCCAGGATTTAAAAAAAGAAACAACAAAACAACAAAATAAAAAAGTAGACAGTATGTACATGAACATGATCAGGAAGAAAACAAAGATCTGGACAAGCCAAATCTCTGCATGGAAGCCTGAAGCAGAATTAATGGATGCACACCTTGCTTGTATTTACATACACATAATATGAGTATGGAAAATACAGAAACAACATTACAACGAAGAAAACAGCTGATAATTTCCTTCTTTTCTTTCTTTTGTCCAGTATCTGCTCTGTGCCACCAGGTGTTGCAGTTTAACAGAAGACAGGTAACCAAGATGGGGTGAGCTCGGTTACTTGGGGTACTGAGATGCTGTGAAGTCTTAGGCTCTCAGTGACTCCTTCAATCTAACTTCTAGGTCACCCCTCTGCCTTTTGGTGTTACCTTTCATATATATTGTGAGCTCTCGCTGCAAGCATCATAGGATTCTTACTCAACGGGTAGCCGAACCATTTCAGTCTTCAATAAATTCATTACTAAGTAAAAACATATTCAGTACAGTGTACACAAAAATATTGCCTGCCTGTTATATGCGTTTACTGTTTTCTGTTCTTCACCCGCTCTAGAAACATACATGACAAGTTTCAAAAGATGTACTTACTTTTTTGTGTGCCCTGGGAAATATCTGATGTATTTATTGTCATGGAGAGATAAATATCTGATGGTATCTGAAAGAGCATAAAACAACACAAAGTCAACACATTAATCGATTCGTACAGGCAGTTAACTATGCAAATTAATCACAATATTAGGACAAATCAAAATCATGTTTCTTCACTAACAGATCTGATAGAATAGTTCTGCATTCTCTCATTCCAAAAATAAACTGAGTTTATTTTTGACTGTATGCAAGAGAACGTTATGAATGTCTGTGTAGTCAGTCTGTGGCTTAGACTCTAAAAACAAGCTTCATAATCCAGAAATGCTCAGTTTGTTTCTGGTGCAGACTGGTAACAGACCCCTTTACACTGATTCTGACAACAGTATGGAGCAGAGACTCTTCAGCGGGCAATGGCAGACTAGTGAACATAAAATTCTCTAGTAAAACCACAAAACAGCCAATTAATGCTGTGGTT